ATCTTCAATCTACAAAAAATTCCTATGACAAAGCAAATGGTAAATTGACTAAATTCTGTCATCAGAAGACATTCAACTTTTAAATTTTTATATATTTTAACTCTGTTAAATAAGTTTTCTACACAATGAATAGGTACTTCCATGCATTTTGAACAGTAGTCAGTATATAAATACATTACCCATTTCATGATAATAAGATGAAACCCTTATTGAACCCCCGATTGAAAAGCAGGGGATATATAGTGATGGGAGTGTCCCTCCTTCCGTATGTCATTTGTATGTCTGTAACACTTGGGGGTACCCATCCCTTATCTGCAACTCCTCCTATACTAATCTACTGAAATTTTTTTTATCAGCAAATATTCATTACCTTGATATTAATGATGAAAAATTGATATCTGATAAAGGATCTTTTGAATATTCATTGTAGTTCCCCATTAGCCATGCAGACGATAAAGTGTGTAGTGGTAGGAGATGGTGCAGTAGGTAAAACATGTCTACTGATCTCCTACACAACCAACAAGTTCCCCTCAGAATATGTACCTACAGTATTTGATAACTATGCGGTGACGGTAATGATTGGTGGAGAACCTTACACGTTAGGTCTGTTCGACACTGCAGGTCAGGAGGATTACGATAGATTACGTCCCCTCAGTTATCCCCAGACTGATGTCTTCCTGGTATGCTTCTCGGTGGTGTCACCAGCTTCTTTTGAAAACGTCCGAGAAAAGGTAGTGTACTTTGTGTTGGAAATATTTACAATCTCTGTATATGTGTACATGTAGTCCAATCAAGCTGTAATTTGCTTTAATTCAGTACTAGCTTTAAAATACTTATGTTGTATCAGTTATCTTAAATTTTTTAAATGGTGGTACTACAGATACAGGGATTAAAGTATATGGTGTTCATTGTGCTCATTATCTCATTGTTGTGTATTGCCTATTGTGCTATACTGCTCATTGTGCTCATTATCTGATTGTGCTGTATTGCTCATTATCTCATGGTTCCATAAAAACAAAGAAGAAAGTTATGCTAAAATGTATTATTAAGTGCAGCAAATCGGGCAATATTTTAATCAAATAAGGCAATATACTCAAATGAAAGTCTTTTGTTAAGTGAGCCAAAGAAATTTAACAAATAAATATACATTTGTAGTGGGTACCGGAGATAACTCATCACTGTCAGAAGACACCGTTTTTACTAGTCGGAACACAAGTAGATTTACGTGATGATGCAACAACAATAGAGAAGTTAGCCAAGAACAAACAGAAACCAATTACATTTGAGCAAGGAGAAAAACTGGCTAGGGAACTGAAGGCTGTTAAATATGTAGAATGTTCAGCATTAACACAGGTAAGTGTAGGATGTAAATAGAAGGAAGAGTTAAGTACAAATGGTATACTTCTTAGGAGAAAGGGTAAATATAGCAAAGACAGTCACACAGGTGCTATGTGAATAAATTTATATTCTTGCGAGTGCCAGTATTTCAGATCTTTTGCTGTGTAAAAATTGATATCGGGAGAGAATTTTTAAAGATATATTTGATAATGATTAAAAAAGGTTAATGAGTTTTTGTACATGATAAAAGTACCTCGAATTTGAAATGAGCTATAGTGATTATACATTATATGCTGATGTTATAAATCACTAGTTAATTTAATTATTTTTTTGTGTTTTTATTTTCAGAAAGGATTAAAGAATGTGTTTGATGAAGCTATCTTAGCTGCTTTGGAACCTCCTGAACCACCCAAAAAGAAGAAGTGTGTGATGTTGTAATCTGTGAACTTGAGTCATTTTCATGTGTAATCATAGAAAGGTTTATGACTTCAACTTATCATCTGTGGAGAGATCTTGAGCAAAATCGAAAAATAAAAAACCAATTTTATATGTCTGAATAAGCACTTTCACAGATGGATTATTTCAGGTTGAGTGTGAGATTTCTCTAGAAAAAGGGATATTGAGAGTTGGCATAAGTCAGGTGATTATTTCAAATGAATCCCTAGCACAGTGCTAGGTTTTATTATCCCATAAGGGTCCAATTAACTTGTGATTTGTGAATATAAATTATTGACCAGCTTCTCCCTTAATTTATTATCTTTTGGTGCCAAAAATGTGGAAGTGATCTGAGATTGTCATGTGTTCACCCAAGATGTAAAAGGCACCATGAATTGCAATTCTCAAACATGCAGGTCTCGGTAAAATTTAAATATTTTTCATTAAAGAGAAACTCTTGCTAGTTTTGAACCAATATAAAATGACATATATGTGCTAAATGGATAATAAATAAAGCAATATTCTGCTGATTTTTGTATAGGTAACTTTTTATTACCTTTAATAATATATTAGCTATTAACACATGATTTATTTAATTATAAGTACAAAACCCAGTTGAGGCACATTATGATTTACTGGAAATTTTCTAAGTTAGACATTTTCCTCTTTTCAAGTTGTATTCTACTTGGCGTTTATTATACAATGTAATATTATGTAGATAACTGTACAGGCTTTATAATTTTAAGACTCTAGGATTTAGTTTTGTTGTATAAATGGACTTGTTTTATCTATTTAGGAAGTCATGGATGAGTGGGTGTGTGTATACATGTATGTGCTATTATCAGCTTTACAGAATACATTGATTACTAGAAGTAATATTATAGTGTTTCTCCTTTTTTAATCGTTTCTAAAGCATTTGTTCAATTTTGCATGAAGAGCAGGTGTTTCAGAAGTTAAATTTTGGTTTCTATCATTTTGAAGTACAATTGTTTGCAGTTGTGGACCTATTTTGTCTATGTTACCACTACTTGTGGTGCCTTGAAGTTGTGACAATGTGGCCGTGAACTTTTGGTTATTTATGTCTTGTAATATGTACCTGCATGTCTTTTGTCATGTATCTTGTCTAAAAAACACCATTTTATTTTCACTATACTTAAATAAACATAAGAGTCTGTTTTCATTTTTTTTCTTTTTTTGGTTAACTGCATTAATAGTAAGAATTTAAAGAACATGGGGAATAGGGAAAGGAAATAGTTTTTTACTGAACAGATAAGGAAGTGAAAAGTTAGGTAACCAATGGTTTTTAATTTTATTATTATTATTAGTGCATAAGTATACTTGAAATGTTTATAAGTAATTTTGCAAGCTGATAAGTATAGAAGTGCACATCTTAAGAAAAAGGATACAAATATCAAAGTATGGCAAATTAACAAGATTTTTTTTTTTTGAAGAGGTGCACATTTTGTTGTATGTACAGCTGGAACATTTCTTTCATATTCATTAATTTTCATGTCCATAGTAGGTACTATATGTACTTCACTTTTGGTGAATAGATAATTTGATTCATATCATATTCATTATATATCCATATTCACTCTAAGTAACCATATGTTACTGTATTGTTAAGAAGTAAGTTCATATAAATTCCTCCATGTCCTTTGAAGTTCAGTAGTAAATTGATAATTTCCATAGATGGTAACACACACAAAAAAAAAAAAATGGAGAAGTGTGATATTATTGAATAGCTCCTAAAATTCTGTGTAAATTTGTAGGTCAACCAAGTAACTTGGGAGATCTTTTGCTATCCTTTTTTGTCCATCATCTGATGATTGTGAACTTCTGAACATTTTCAGCTTCTCCAGAATGGCTGAATCAGTATCAACTTTGGAATATATATCACATCAGGATATAGGGTGTGGCTATGGTGGTCATACATTGTAAATACATTACACTTTTGATAGTTTTCTTTTTTACTCATGGCCATGTAACATGCAAATTGTTTGAATGATTATAATTATCACTTGGGCCCCCAACCAGAACTGTTATATTCATGGCCTTTGAGCCCAGGATTTGGGCATCAGGATGAGACTGATTTCATTCTATGTTGATGGTACATTACATCATCAAAAATCTTCGTTTTATTATTATACCTACCTATTGACTGAAAAATGAGAAAAATGCAATGTTGATGAGGACCATTATTCTAACCCAGGTCCCCAGAATCACCAGTCAGGTGTTCTACCAACTGAGCTATCAGGCCACTGGCAGTCAAATCTGCCTGACCGCCACATTCCTCCCTCCTTAGAAATTCTTTACCCCAAAAGACATGACCCAGGTTCTTTCCTGGCAGGTCTTTCATCTGTCACTTCCAGGGCATGGCATGTCACTGCGACAAACCAGACCAGAATCCAAACCTTAGCCCCCAAAATCACCAATTAGGTGCTCTACCAACTAAGCCATCTAGCTACTGGTGATCAAACCTGCCTGACCGCCACACCTGCTAATGAACTGTTATTCTCGGAAAAATTTAACAATATACTTTTGGTTGAAATATGGTGAGCTAGAGAAGTTTTATGAATTTCATGTAATACACATGATTGGCTGTACCTTTTGCACCTATAGAGACGGGGCTTTCATTTTATAACTGTGCATTACATTTACGCATTACATGTGACAAGACTTTCCCAGATGTACTAGGTCACTGTTGGAATGTCATTTTTCATTGAAACTTACAGTTAAAAAGTACAAGGGAGATAATCAGTATAAATGTAAAATACAGCACCGATCATTTATACAAACAGGCATTGCACTCAGTCCAATATAAATTAATAATATTAACTTTCAAAAATCATTAGGATAATCTTCTAACTGGTTGTACACATATGATGTATGATAAGGTTATCATTCATTATAGAAATGCCTTTTAATTGCAAGGCAATGGCAACCCAGTCAAACTGTTGAGGTACCTTGGTATAGTATTAATATTTCTTGCAATCCTCAGTACAAAGAGAATAACAAATTTGCTTTATAAAAAACAAACTTATTCTGTTGTCGGTAAACACACACATTGCACCACATTATGTCTTTAGGTATATTTAGATAGATATGTATACAAAATGTAGGTGACTTTACTTCTGAATTTTCTTTTCTGAAAATACAAGTATAAAAAATCCTCAGAAATGTTTGGCTAACAAAAAAAAAAAAAACAACAACAACAAAAAATATACTTCAATTGTAATATATTTTATTTTTGACAATTAAAAACATACAAAACATTATAAACATATAAAAGTAGCGACTGCAAAGTATTACACATTATAAATCGACACCAGTGCACATGCAACATACATGTACGCACAAACACATGGATTCCCAAAACATACAGTAATACTTGTCTATAGGGATAATGTTAATACTAGGCAAGGGATAGTGGAGAACTAACTACTAGGAAGAAACAAAACATACCTTAATAACCAAAGATATAACTCTGGAGAAATAAACTATACCACACTGGCCCGTACATATATTAAAACCATAACCATTTTGTTACAGTAGATATTTATTGAGAGAATTAATACTCGAAATTGAATTTTAGGGTTGAGTGCGAAGTTACACGTACATTTCATAAAGAATGATTATGCTTCTTACCCTGTGTAAATGCATATAACATACATGTACATACATTTACTCAAATCTAAAAATAAAAAAAATATCTTTGAAGTAGACCAAATACCTATTAAGGACACATATTGCACTGTATTTGTAATAACTACACATCATTTTCAAAAGAACACTAAGAAAATTTATAAAATGTTTTTTGGGTGTATGTTTGAACATGGGCCTAAAAATTTTACCAATCTATAAAACTCAATCTAGCAAATATTTAGTATTATTTCAGATCTCCCAGAAAAAAAAAATATTCACATTCTCTGTTTGTGTAAAAAATAAAAGGCTCTTAATATGTACAAAGCACTTTTTCTAAAGGATTACACATTCTTTAATTACATTTTTCAGATCTACAGATTCTATACATGGACCAAAAAACAAAAAGACATTAGATCCAATTACATTTATAATTAGTAACTGTTCTAACTATTGTTCATGAAAAAAGTCAGATCTTTTGTGTGTCTAAAGTGTAAAAAGATATTTTCAATGAAATAAAAAAAAATTTTAGGACTAGGAATACTTGAGGAAAAAAAGAACAACTAAATTACATGTGCAGTATAAAGTGGATTAGCATTGAAAAAATAGCACATAAGTATAATACTCATGTAACAACAGAAATTTCTAACACTGAACCATAACAATTAAATATAACAGATCATTGCAACATTTCCCAGACAAAACAGACCGATATCAACAGTTACCTGAGATGACAATTACACTGTAACAAATCAGATGTACATAAGCTCTTCTATCTCCTAAATATTACATGGAAGACCATAACAATATGAAATTTGGGCATATATAGAGAAAAATAAATTTTCTGCAAAAAGCAATTAAATATCAATGAAGCACAGAAGTTTTGTCATGTCCTTGAACAAAGTAATAAAAAAAAAATGTACAGTACAACAAATATTTTAATCAAGAGGAAGAAGTGATGTATGTCTGAAAAATAATGCTTAAAATCAAATTGGCTATCACTCCTATTACAAGTATTAGTCAGTGCACACACATTCAAACCCTGCTGTCCTTAACTAGCTGCCTGCTTGAAGAAGTTGGCCTTTTCCTTGAATGCCTTTTGTCTTTCTTTCTTTTCCTCTAACTCTCGTTTCTTTTCTTCTTGCTCTTGCTTGATTTCCTCCTCAAACTTTTTGCTGGCTGTCTGTTGTTCTATCTGTTCATAAGATCAGAAAATATTAAAGAAAATATTACACAAGACACCAAAACTCAAATACTGGAGCAATCTATCAACTTAATTAGAGGTCACTGTAGTGACCTTAATGTATGATGCGACACATCTCGTAACTAAGATGCATTAATGGACCAGGTTTAATGATTCTTGGTCTTAATTTATAACAAATGTGTATGGTTGGCCTGTATGTATTTTCAGTGTTTAATGCTGTAGAACAAATTTCCCAACACATATAATATGAGGGTTGATCACTACTGATACATGTATGCATGTATAAAATCTGAAATAATGGAAAGTCATTAACAAAATTTGTTGTACTAATACCACCATTCATTTTGAATTCACTTAAATATATTTTTTAATCCTTTTTAAATATCAAGATAAATATCGAGATAAACACAAAGTTTGGTTTGACTACAAGTCATTACGGACATCTTTATGATGTTACTTTTGGGACCCATTTTCACTTCATCCACAAATCTATTAAAATCTCTCACACACATCTTATTTTCCATGCTTTGTAATAATCCTCACTGCAATCTTGCAGGAAAATTGCTGCTTATTTTTAAAAAATTATTTCAATAATCCAAAGTTCATTTCTATATTCACTTCATTGTGCCTAGATCTCTTGTATTGTCAGAATCGAGGTTAAGTGATAAAGACTGACTGATCGTTCGCTCACTTTCCTCCTTTTCCTGTTGAAATGAGGAAAAGGTTGATACCTATAAAATGCCAAGACATGATGCCTGGCACTTTCACTATTAATAAGGGAAACAAGAAATGTTTGTGAAACACTTATGCCTCCCCTCCCCCCCCCCCCCCAATATTTTTTAAGTCCAAGGGGCATAACTCTGTCATAAATTGCTTGATCATACCCAAAACAGAACTTGTTCTAGATATTTTTATGATAAATCTGTATACCAAATTTCATTTCAGTACGTGCAACCTCCGTGAAGAAAATGAACGGAAACTGTAAATAATTGGAATTTTCCTAAGTCCAAGGGGCATAACTCTGTCAAAAATTGCTTGATTGTACCCAAAACAGAACTTGACCTAGATATTCTTATGATAAATCTGTATACCAAATTTCATTTCAGTATGTGCAACCTCTTTGAAGAAAATGAACGAAACTTGTTGGTGGACAGACAGACAGACCAACCCACCGACCGACAGACAGCTGCAAAGCAATATGCCCTCCCTTCTTTGAAGAGGAGCATAATAAACTTTATAGAGATTAGAAAGATACATATTTTTCCTTTTTTATTAAATGGAAGTCAACAGGTAGACAGATGCAAGAAAAAAGTGTGTGGAGGATCAGTCAACCTTCAAAGTCACTCTTGAATCTGACGATTACCCGCAATCTACTCACAAATGAATGAATGTGGAAATAAACTATGGAAAAGTGTAGAAAGTGTAACTAAACCTTGTAATAGATTTTCAGATGAACTGCAAATGACTTACAAAAAAATAAATATAAATAATAAAATGTTGTTGTGTGGAGATAGACATAACATTTTGAGTTTTAATATCTTTATATTTCAAAACATATTGCATTTATCTGAACAAAATTTTTAGGCAAAAGTCAAAATGGATGGATGTTTTAGTCGTATATCAGATTTGGTTGATGACTTCCTATTATTACAGAATTTATAGCAGTAAGTGACACTACTTTTGAATCAACCCTTGTATCATTGCAAATCATTAATAATTATTATAATACAAAAATGTACTCATTTTCGTTTAATTTTGAAAACTTGTGTGATATTTTATTTAAAATTTTTCTCATTTAGTGAAACTATTTATAGACAATTTCAGGTCAAATTCAAATACTGATGTTAGCTAACATCGACTTTTCCTCTATAAATGCAATACAGTTGGCACAACCAGGACATAAAATAATTATGTACGCCCAACACATGCAGTATCATGTTTAATTGTATTTCTTGTGCCTGTTTAAATAATTTTTTTAAAATAGTTTTGTTGTTCTCATCTAAATTTTTCCCTCTAAATTTTTTTTTGTTACTTTCCAAGAACAGAAAAAAATTCTAATCATTTCACTTGAGTGTACAAATTCAAAGAAGAATTGACTATTTTCAGAGACACTAACTGCTCAATATCCTATCTCATTTCCTGAATAGTACATATCTGTCGATTTTATTTATAATTGCATGGGAGTGAGTGTTTCACTGCAAAATGATGTGCAATGAATTTTATCTTGGTCAATAAACTGAAGAGATTCGAAGAGCTTTGTCACACAACACTTAATCTCAAGCACATAATTAATGCAAACCCAAGATGAACAGACTAGCTTAAATCCTCCCATTGTTATGAACAGGAAATGCCTTTAATTTTCTTAACCACTCACTTTAGCTTGGAAGAAGTTCTTAGCTCCCTTGACTCCTTCTTTGTCGACATCGATTTCTGTCATGTTTTCAAACAGGGCCATTAGTCCACTTCCTGCCTCTAATTCTCCAGCATTAGCTTTACGGAAAATTAATAGAAACTGAAATAGAAAAGATTACCACATTACACCCAACAAACTTCTATCTTACACATACAATTTCTGTGTGTTATTTAATTTATTCTTTAAAAAAAAAAATACAGTCAAGCCTCGTTATCTCAAATTCAATGGGACTGAGAAAAAACATCGAAATATCCGAGGATTTGAGATATCGAGGGTAAGATACTTAAAGAATAAGTGGTTTTGACTTCCAAATCACTTCCAAATATCCATGGTATTAAAGAAATCAGTTTTCGAGATACCGAAGTTCAACTGTATACGTGACATATGAACAAGATAATCATATATTTATGACCGTAAACATTAAATACCAGGGGTACATTAAAATCAGTTTCACATGAACATTTTTGCTAACATAAGCTGCCATGAAATTTATTCAGATCTTGCCAAAAGATATCATAGCATAACTTACTACAAATGTAATTGATTATATACTGTAGTTTTATTACAAATAAAAACATTAGATGTAATGAGAGACAGTACGCCTCGTGCCCTTTACAGTAGTGAATTCTTAAGGTTTCTGTATAGCCACTCGACATATGAATACTCCCATTACCCTCCCCTTTTTATTTTTTATGTGTACTTGTGAAAACGTAATTTTCCAGTCTATTCCTTCCATTTAGCCGAGCTTATTGAGCTTCCAAATACTTCTATAAATAAATAGCATGTACGTAGACTGCCGGAGAGTTTTCTGAAGTCATACACTCCACATCAATATAATATTAAACTGGCAATTTATAATATTACCTCCAAAGACAATGTCAGACAAGTGTTTTACTATAGCTTTATACAAAGGAGCCTCGATACCATGCAAGATGCTTCACCTTCCAAATGAAATTCATGGAGAAAAGAATTTACATAAATTTATATCTTCCAATTGTATAGGTTATGTTTCAGTTCTCCAGATACTGCATTAATCCGGACTATTTGCCTGGGAACACAAACGTCTGCATTAACAAGGTTTGACTGTATAATATAATAAGGTTTAAGATAAAATTTCAACTCATATATACTAGATAATCACTCTACAGTCTTCATGACGAAGGAGAGGGAAGAATTTCATTGTAGGTTATAAAAACCTGGCAATACATGTACAAAATATATGAAATACTTCCTGCTTCACAGGCAGGTAAGCTAACGGTTGTACAACTTACTTCCCTGAAGTTGATTTTATCATCATAGTCTTCATCCACTTCCTTTATCATGGCCTTCAGGGACAGGTGTGTCTGGGGGGCTCCAATTTTCTCCATCATCAGTTTCAGTTCATGAAAGTCAATAAAATTGTCTCTACTAACATCATACCTGCAATAGACATCATTTATAACATGAAAAAATCTCATAATTTATATACTGGTACACTGTACTAGATCCTTTTTAAGGTATGCAGTCTGTTGCAGCTATGCAGTCTGTATGAGAGTTTTGAAACTGCAAATATGTATGTACTACATGTATTACATAAATCATTACTGCCATGACTTTGAAAAGCACATTTTCTTAATATCATAAAAGTTTACATGCCAAACATGTACGTGAGAGCAGAAGATGAATTCCCCCAAAAATTATAATGCCTTTCTGCATCCTTAACCCTACAGAATTGGGTGTGAGGTCAAAATAAAGTTAACTAAAGCAATAAAAATGATCTATGACATTGAAGGGATTAACTTGTCACACCTCTCGGAGGAACACCTGTCTCTTCTTGAGGACAAAATGTTTATCTTTCATCCTGAAGAGGAGACAGGTTGTCCCAGAAATAGGATATTTTAATCCCTAATGATCATTTTATATATTTTCTACTGTTCATACAATACAGAGCCTTATATAGGAAAATATGAAGTAATGACTATATATATACATATGTGTTTCAAATAGTTTCACAAAGCCCTATCTATGACAATAGTTCAATACATTATGTTTCAGTATCATGCAGATGCTGTAGGTCCTGTCATTAACTCAGATATGTGCATGGACACTTCTTTATTATGTTCCATTCAAATTTTCATTAATAATGATTTAATTTTTCTTTCAATTTTAAAATTTAAAATGAAATGTCAAAGCAAAGAAAAGCTTTAAATGGTGTCAGAAATGTGTGAGTTTTCTGCCTTTTGCCCATTGAAAATAAAAATCTTGTATCTCATCTTATAAATCCCATACAGTGTTAAGACAAGGATAAAAGACATAATGATTGATATTTTTAAAAGCCTTAGTAAAAATATAACAGACTCAGATGTTTAATTACATGATCGTGATGATATGTACATTTCAATATATGTCAATCAGGTTTTCATTGGTTTATTTTAAAATAAGTAAATGTAATTAATTTGCATCTAGTTGTTAGAAGCACCTCTCAGGACGGAAATATGAAATGTATTCAAAAAAAGTGAAAACTAATTTTATTATTATTATTTTTTGAAGGTATGATTTAATGCTAAGCTCAGGTAAGTTATGACAATAATTTAGGAATGACTCTAATTCTTGGCCAAATTATTCGCGTATAACCTGGTTTGGGTCAGTTTACGCTTTATAATCCGCGAAGCGGATTATAAAACAGCGTAAACTGACCCAAACCAGGTTATACGCGAATAATTTGGCCAAGAATTAGAGTCATTCCTTATAATTTAATTTTAAATTCATCAAATAACTATGGGTGTAAAATTTCGTTGCTTTTTATTAGTTCAAATTTGCCGCTCAATAATACAACCATAGTAACGGAAGTACCGGAAGTGATGGGAAGCGAGGGGAGGTAAAAACTGATACATAGGCCTAGCAGCCTTGTTGTTTGTTTACACGTGGTAAGATCGAATTATTGTTTGGTACATTCATTAAATCTGGAATTTTCCATGAATCCCGAGGACTGGAAATGAGAGGATTGTATGGATACAGATGATTCAGCTGGTTGTCAGGGGGGGGGGGGGGGTGTCCCCATACCAAACCAGGTTATACAGAAATAATTTGTGTTCCTTTTTGGATATTAACCAATCAGAGGTTAGAATACAAACAAAATTAAATTATTAAAGTATAACCTGGATGTAGAGGTGCAGTGAATTAGCAACAGTGCCAGGTAATAATTAAAATCATTCATACAATGTAAGTGCTAAAATTAGGATGAACATAATCAGTAGGCCTTTAGATACAATCCTAGATAGAATCTTCTATCGTTAAAATGATAAATGTCCTAAGGACTCGGTTTAACAACTGTGGTGAGGGCTTATCCCAATACACAGTTAAATTATTCTAAATATACAATCCGAACAGCCGCTTTTACTGAGAGTAAAATCGTTAGTCCTTTGATGGTTTGATATGATAAAACATGAATACATAAAAAAAAAAAATACACCTACAGAAATATGTGCGTGTAATTTAAAATGATTTGATATTTTAAACAATACATTGTCCTCTATCTAGTGCTGACAGTGACACATCAGGAAATCCTGGCCAACCTAATGCTTAAACATGCACTGTGTAACAGTAATAAACTCCAAAATCAAACACATTTCACTTAAATTCTGAAATCATGGCAGCTGTTTTGCATTGCAGATAATTACTCACTTGTTAAAGGTTCGTTGGAAATCCTTGATTTGTTTACGACTGAACTCCTTGAATTCTGTGTAAGGGTTAAACACATTCATCGATGGTAATGCTGCTGTTTCATCCCCTTCGTTGATTTCATTTCGTCTGTTTAGCTTTCTTGCAAGTTCATCACTTGCCATTGTTATGTTTTAGTAGATAACACGATAAGAGGGTAAAGAGACAAATTTTAGTTCCTTGATAAATCCCCCAACTCTCCCCTCACTTAGCAGAACACGAGTTTCACTTCCTCAAAATAAACCTAGCTGCTTCCGGGTCACGTGGTATTCAAGGTAAAAATTATAAGGGCGGATCGCAAAATCTGAATCTCAAAAGAAATTACCAGTATAAAATCAGTCAGTCGTAAAAATCGTAGAACACAATATGAAATGAAATGAAATATGGAGATAACGAACAGTATTCAAGCTCAAACTTTGAGTCAAAGTCAATTTAAACAATACAAATCGGGAGCAGAGCAAACATGGACCTCCAAAACATCAGAGGTGGGATCATGTGCCATGGAGGACTGAGCATCCTCTGCCGACCGCTCGCACCCGCCGTGTGCTCCTTGTCATGATCGGGAAATAACGGGAAAATCCGTCAACAATTCAGTGTGTAAATAATGGCATAACAATTAGTATGAAGTGTCAGTAAGCATTTTAATTACTTACTGATAGATTGTATTTGCTGAAAAGGTCATTGTATCGATCATAGAACTTTTAAAATGACGACTTTAAACGAGAATGTTGATATCCTTGTTTCATCAACTTGTTTGTTAATAGCTGATACGTAGAACTTGCTCTCGCGTATCGAATCAACTGGGAGACAAAAACCCTATATACAAGTATGCAGGTGATAAGGGTATATTGCTACAAAGGTAAGGGAAGTTGACTATTGAAAAATTGAAGTCATCACGTTTAATTATAATGGTTTGTTGTTAGGTTACCATTAAAGCCTTTTTCTAGAAAAATATCCAAACATGAAACAGATGTGTCAGACTCTGTTGTATCTTTTATTTCAAGCCAACTGGGATATATCGAGTCGACATATGAATGGAAGTGACTATTGTTTATTAACGAAACGTCGTCGATATATCTCAATGTCGGGTTGAAGGCCACAGCAAGTGTTTCCTTCTTCTCATGTAGAAGTTTTTGAATAAATCAGTTCTGCTTCATATGAATACAAAAATAGGTCTGCTAATAAGGGGGGCGAATTGGTACCCATAAGTATTACGGCAGATTGTCGGAAGACATGATCTCCAAAAACTACATAGGTATTGTCAAAGAGAAACTCAAGCATCTTTTTAATATCAACTTCAGAGTACTTATGTGTACAATCAGTATTTTTTTTTAAACAAAATAATTTTACAAATGACCAGTGACAAGGTAATTACAAGTATATATTTACTAGTTCCATTTTTATTGAAAAAGCAGCTGTCTATGATGTCAAAAAGCCTGGACTTCGATTTGTCGTGGGGAATGGTTGTATAAAGTGTTGAAAAGTCGTACGTTTCGATGTTATTGATTTAGGTAAAATTTTGTGATTTCATGTTTTCTAAAAGTTCCTTGGAGTTTTTAAGTATCCACATCTGATTTACATCACTTCTCGAATATACTTCTGTACAGTACTCCTGAAGTTTCTCCTTTACTGCTATAAATACTTTAGTGAGGAGTGAAGAAAGAGGCTTGGTAGAACAATTACTGGAACCCAGTGTGTATCCTTTTTTTGTAAGGATTTTTATGAAGTTTTAGAATCCAGTATCGGTATGGTAATTCAAATTAATTTAGATTGTTGGGAATATTAAAAATATTTAAAACTGACGTATATGGTTTTTAAGAATTTCCTCCTTAAAAAGGGAGCTATGGGCATAAGTTGGATTACCACTTGCAGAATTAAATCCTAGTTCCTCTAAAATACAATTGAAATAATGAGCCTTACAAACAAAAACAATGTTGTTACCTGCTGTCAGGGAATTCTTGTTTCTTCTGCATTGTCGAAGACAGAAGGATAAATGCATGTTTTTCATATTGCCCCTCAATCGTGATTTCAACATCCATCTGATACTAATCCATTCTGACGAAGTGTCAAGGTCTTCTTTTTCATATTTGGCCCATCGGCTGTTATGAAATTATGACGCCAGTTGAATGATCGAGGTTCCCTAACATTAACTCTTTTTACGTCACCAGTAATGACGTGTCCAGCAGGACTATATTTGTAGGGTGAAGAAGAACATGAACACGTAGGAGGATTATGTTTCAGATGCTCGATATCTAGGCACTGTGGAGTTTTTTTATTAAAAAGTTTGGAAGTAATTGTTGATGTATATTTGTAAGAAATACAAGGTGTGGACTTCAACTTGAAATATGGTGGAATACAAGACTGGACCTTTTTGCAATTAAGAATGTTACTTATACAAACTGCGTCAATTCCTTTGTTGGTATATTGAAGTTTAAGGAACAAACGTGTTGTTTGAGCGGTATTTTTCTCCACAAAACGTGGCGGTTTAAAGGGCTTACGATTTACAATATCGGAGACTGTATCCTGGTGTCGAGGAATCCAAATATGGACTATCCTTGACTTTTATAAATGGATTAGACTATTCAAAACTTTCAAAGGGACAGAGTAAAGTTTGGTGCGAATGTGATGAAGGCCTAACTGTTTATTTAGATAAGGTAAAAGTGAATCAAAGGATAGGTTTATTGTAAGACCGATGTCCATGACTAGGCTTACGTCTCTTTGTACTTTTGAAAAGTCCCATCACATTCACATTGCTACACTGTGGACTTGAAAGATTCCCAACACTATCGACATTATCATTGCTACCATATGGGTAGACCGTTTATTTAAAGTAGATTTGTATTAACAAGTTATTAATTTATAGTTACAAATTTTTAATTTGTGAAAACAAATTATCTGAATAATTTGTTACATTAAATTGATGGTTTGTTATTACAAATTACACATTTTTTGTTTAAGTTTAATACAATTCTCTCTGAACATAAATGAAAAATAAATCTGGATCTATTAGAAAATATAACGAATGAAGGTGTAAGTATTGAATTTATTAATATAACCATTGGGTACCTAGATATATAGTACTATAATTTAATTTTGTTTGTATTCTTGCCTCTGATTGGTTAATATCCAAAAAGGAACACAAATTATTTCTGTATAACCTGGTTTGGTATGGGGACACACACCCCTGACAACCAGCTGAATTATCTGTATCCATACAATCCTCTCATTTCAGTCCTCGAGATTCATGGAAAATTCCAGATTTAATAAATGTACCTTTAACTTCAAACGATAATTTCGCTCTTACCACATGTAAAAAGGCTGCTAGGCCCATGTGTCAGTTTTTACCTCCCCTTGCTTCCCATCACTTCCGTTACTTCCGTTACTAAGGTTGTATTATTGAGCGGCAAATTTGAACTAATAAAAAGCAACGAAATTTTACACCCATAGTTATTTAATGATTTTAAAATTAAATCATAAGGAATGACTCTTATTCTTGGCCAAATTATTCGAGTATAACCTGGTTTGGGTCAGTTTACGCTGTTTTATAATCCGCTTCGCGGATTATAAAGCGTAAACTGACCCAAACCAGGTTATACTCGAATAATTTGGCCAAGAATTAGAGTCATTCCTAAAATAATTTAATTTTGTTTGTATTCTAGCCTCTGATTGGTTAATATCCAAAAAGGAACACAAATTATTTCTGTATAACCTGGTTTGGTATGGGGACACCCCCCCCCCCCTGACAACCAGCTGAATCATCTGTATCCATACAATCCTCTCATTTCCAGTCCTCAGAATTCATGGAAAATTCCAGATTTAATAAACGTACCTTTAACTTCAAACAATAATTCGATCTTACCACATGTAAACAAACAACAAGACTGCTAGGCCTATGTATCAGTTTTTACCTCCCCTCGCTTCCCATCACTTCCGTTACTTCCGTTACTATGGTTGTATTATTGAGCGGCAAATTTGAACTAATGAAAAGCAACGAAATTTTACACCTATAGTTATTTATTGATTTTAAAATTAAATCATAAGGAATGACTCTTATTCTTGGCCAAATTATTCGAGTATAACCTGGTTTGGGTCAGTTTACGCTGTTTTATAATCCGCTTCGCTAATTTAAACGCAATTTTCTTATAAATCATTTTCAGAAAAAAGGAAATATCTACATTAACGTTGATAATTCAGCGTTCTCACATATCCAAGCTGACTTGGATGTTATTATGTTTCTCTGGATGGAGATTGTGGGGTAATTAGTCATTTAATGGTTGAGTTGTTAATCACTGTTAAAACACCTGTCATGCAATTCTTTAATGATATTAAATCACCGTTGAACACTGCGAATTAGTATGTTTGTCTTTTGCAGTTGTCCATCGAATGAATTACTAAACAAACATTGTAAATTGAGTGATGTAGTTCAGACTTAATTTTAATTATGGTGACAATGCAGAATAAACTTATGTGACATCTGCTCTGAATATATATGATTTCTCAGACATGATTCGTGGTTTTCCTTATTTTTTCTTGTCTGTGAAAACTGAACTAAATTATATATGCATGTAGTTTTCTTATCAACAAAAAGACAAATAGAATGATTTAACTTCTAACGACTTTTTTTGTCTTCTTGTGTATATGAATAGAGATACTTATATAGGGGAAGAAAGTTTTCAACAAAAATTAAATGCATATTTTGATACGGTTAACCGGTTAATCGGTCGGAACGTCTTGCAGTTAACCGATTAGCAATTCTGTATTCGATTGCCATCCCTAGTTATTACAAATTAACTAAATTGTTATTACCAATATACAGTCAGTTTGTTGTTTCGTAAATTATTTTCGGTAACAAAAAGGGGCTTATTCCTTACTTAAGGAAGAGATTGCAAGGGTACATGAAAAAAATCCGCTCTATGAATTTTTCTCATTTTTACATATAATTTGCCTTACCTTAATGGTATCATAATATGAAAATTTCAACTATGGTCATCAGGGTTATAAGGAAGATATGGTTGCCATGGTAACCACCGTTTTTCAATATTTTGATATTTATGTAGTGAATTTTTAATTATGCCATACAGGTATCAAAATTGAAACAAATTAAATAATTTTCACCAGATATTAAATAATATGCTTTATATTCATCGGAAATAAAAATTGTATCGGAAACTACTGATAGTTGTACTAATGCCACAGTTGCTTTGGGGAGTAGTCATTGTAAATTTGAAGCAATATTTTCACCC